CAAGATCGACTATGGAAAGAGGCACCTTGAAGTACCCGAGCGGTGGCTAACACCTCTACCAGATGTATGAGTTGATATTTGGAATCGTTTCAAACTCAAAAGGGTATAAAAAGAATCCAGATTGATGTATAAGCACATCTGTGCCGGGGAAGGGTTTAAAGGCCTTATTTGAAAATACTGATCCAAGTGATATAAATTTTATGAAAGAAATTAGGCCCCTACAGGAAAATATTTATATATAAAAAAATTTAAAAAATCTCTTTTAGTAAACCTGCTTACCTACATTGTTGAAACTGTATATATATATATATATATATATATATATATATATATATATATATTAAGAAATGGACAAGGTCCGACAATTTATTTATTAAAGACATTTTTTTTTTTGTTTTATAAAATAACAACGTTAAACATAAAAAAAAATGTCTTTAATATATATATATATATATATATATATATATATATATATATATATATATTTGTACAACTCTTCTAAACCGAACATCTAAGATTTTCTGTATTGAGGGGTACTGTTTGGATTCGAGAAAGAAAAGTCTGCTGTGACAAGCTTAAAAGGTTTATTAAGTTTTACAGTTTTGGATACAAAAGGTAGCTTTTAATGTTGATTTGTTTTTATTTAAAGCGTAGATTGAATAGATAAATGTACAAAAAATTATTGACCACCAATAATAAAAGTATTTGTGCTAAACAAATATTGTAATTTGTGAAAAACTAAGGCACTTTATGAAATGTCTAAAAATTTATGAAAGTTATAATTTTATCAATCGTTCATTGTCAGGTCGTCCTAAATTTTGCTGCGTTTCTCATTTGCGTTCATGACAGTTGTTTCTATGGCGCTTTTGACACGTGTACGCCATTCTTTCATTTAAGAACTGTGCAGTTTCGTTTTGATAATTTCATTTTTATGTCTGGATATTCCAGTGGTCATTAAAACAAGGGTTTTGCTCAATGAATTTGAGAAGTCTTTCAATAAACTTCTCTGCTTTTACCCATGATACTGTTTCATCATCAATTTGATCGTCTAATATTTAAAGACAATTTTCAGAAAAGCCATGTCACCTTTTTCAACGAGACGAGGAGGAAACGAAGAATGGGATTTACTCATCCGAGGAAATCACTTTTGTTGGCTTTTTAGTACACAAATATTATTAACCAGGCTATTCAATCTACATATTATAAGGAGCACACGTGGACCTTCTTTCATATTATATATATAACGGATTTGTAGATTGAATACATAAATGTACAAAAAATATTTGACAACCAATAGTAATGAAAAAATTTGTGCTTAAGAAATATTGTAATTTATAAAAAAACGAAGACACTTTACAAAATGTTTGAAAATTATGGGCAAGAAATATCTTATAGACAGATTTATATATCACGTTTTATGATCATCTGACAAACTGCTGATCGCAAAAGCGTGAAACCCAGTGTCACAAATTCATATCGATATAACTTATATATATATATATATATATATATATATATATATATATATATATATATATATATATAGTGGGGTATCAAAAAATACTTTTGGGGCAGGTTCCTCACACCAAAACGAGAGGTAAATGCCCATTTAAACTTATGTCCAAAAAGGCCATCGTTGCATTTCAACACAGCTAATCATGACAAACGTTCTAAATGAACCTCCTTTGCTTCTACACACGCATGAACCCGCCGGATCATTGACTGGTGGACTCTTTTAAATTTTCATCTACGGTGTTGAATGGCTTCACAGCCCCTATGACAAGTTGATGAAGCGCCTCTGCGTTATTAATGTCTGTTGCATAAACCAATTGTTTTAGGTCGCCCCACAGATAAAAATCCAAAGAATTGAGTTCGGGGTCTATGGAACTGGAGCTCTATTATGCATGAACCACATGCATCTTCGTATTAGCAGGAGTACATCCTCTAGCAGTTCTGGAAGTGTGTTCGAAATAAAGTCTCTGTAGACAGCTCCTGTAAGACGTGCTGAGAGAACTTATAGATCTACCAGACAGTCAATTCCAGCCTACACATTAATCGTAAACTGATACTGGTCTAGACTGTATTGTACCATGGGGATTACGATCCACCCACAAATGTTTGTTGCGTAAATCTGTTATTACATCTCTTCCAAATGTGGTCTCATCCGTAAACAAGACTGAAGAGTCAAACAACGGATCAGCAGTTTGTGCAATAAACCATCAAAAAAATGTTCTCCCAGGGTGAGTGATCAGAGGGCGATATGGATACACGAGCTGCTCTTAAAGTATCCCCCATGCGGAACTAGGAGATGTACGACATGCTTGGGCCACTTGACGCGTGCTTGACACCTGGATCGTCCCCGACAGCTAGAAGAATGTGTTCTTCGTGGTCAGGTGTACGAGTAGATCTCGGTTTTTCTCGATCCATAGTATGTGGTGCCATGGATCCTGTCTCAGTAACGCGACGATAAACAAAAGCAAAGGTTGGATAACTCGGGTAC